ACTTGCACGTGGGTAGGGGTTTTTGTAGGGAAAGAACAATGTTCAAGGGAGAACACTAGATTTGTTTATGGGTAAACTGATGGCTCAAGGGAGTATACCAGAGTTGTTTTGTTCAGGCGGGACAATAGGAACTGATCGTCCCTGGCTATGGGCGGTGTTCCTTCGAGGGAGCTCACAATGCAATTAGGCAGCTTCAGTATTTTGCATACCAATAAAGGATTTATTACTAGTATTGGGCTGATAACTACTGAGCTGGGTATGTGCAGGCGTAGGTTCATTAACAGCTGGAGCAGAGCCCCCCCATCATGCAGTGCTTCCCTGCTTTTCTGGTCCCAGAGGTCCATGCGGTTCTTGCCTTGGAATCTCTGTTGTCCATTCTGTATGCTAATAGAGATGCCTCCCTGTCCCATCTTTGATGCAAATGAGGCTAGGGGAGTTTCCTTAATCCTGTCACCCTTGTCTGGAGGGGTTTAGGTGTGTCTCCCACTGCCTTTTCATTGCTTTTTGTAAGTCTTTCTTCTGATCGACTTTGGTTCAAGCAAAGGCTGGGGGAAGGGATGGTCTTTCGTGAGCCAGACAGGCTGGGTACTGCACCCTGGTTCCCCAAGAACACAGAGCTAACAGGTAACATCTGTGCCCAGCCGGAAGCCTCCTGCATTCTCACTTCTGGTCCCCCAAACTTTTAAACCATGGTATCACCTCTCATCCTTTGCCCTTCACCAGCCCCTTCCAGCCAAGGGTCTCCAAAGCACTTTCCAAACAGGAATGAACTAAAACTCAAAACCATTTTTCTGGGTGAGGTAAGGATCATTATCCCTGTTATACAGAGAGGGAAACTGAGGCAATGAGATGGGAACTGACTCCTCTAAAATCATAAAGCGGAGCTATAGGAGAACTGAATTCAAATCTCCTGATTCCCAGCCATATGTCTTAATCACAAGCCCTTCCTTCGTCTCAGATGTTTCTGCTGATGTAATAGAAACACTGGACCCAAGGGAAACTTGTCATGGACTTTTGCATTCTTCCCCCACCCCTGGCACCCTCACAGAGTGGTGACACTTCAAAGTAAAGCTTCATATTAGTGTTAATCTAGCAGCTACTGACTCTGCAAGAGCTCAAGCAGCAGAATGAGCTTTTACAGAATATTTTATTACATCCTTCACACAGACCCCAAACTTCTGGTTCACTGTGCATGATTTATTACAGGCATGCTGGCTTCTTGCCTTGGAGATGCTCTCCCTAACAGATTGCTTCTTAATTTGGAGCTGAAAGACCAGATAGTGTGAGCACGAAACCAGAAACCATGAAATTTAACATCAGAAACCTATAACTGCAGATTCCCAGATAACAGGTCCTGCTTAGACTGCTCGAAAGGGGGCTCATCTCTGTCTAAACTCCCTGCTGAGACACAGACATGCTCAGTAATAAACTTCCTGGAGGGAGCATCGGAATACCCTGAGAATCCAGAGTGACCCTCGATGCCGGTCTCCCCCATAAGGCCTTTCCTTTTCAATTTTTACTGAAACATTCTTGGGTTTTACAAAAGCCATAATTCCATTTTTACTGATTTCCCCCCTAATTTTGGAAGTGCTGGAACACGCTAGATCCAGCTCCCTGCTCCGGAAGGAGAGCTGGGTGTCCCAGGTGACCTAGCCATCATCTCCCCTTCCTGAGTGGGGAGCTGGGTCAGAAATACCGGAAGCACTCGAGTGCTGGTAATCGTCATGTCATCAGTTTCACGTCTGCCACATACAAGTACCAGCTTTACAGACAGCATGGAGAGTTGTGACAGGGTGCTGGGCATAAACTGCTGAGCCAGCCCTCTGTCACACCAGCTCCTATTCAGGGAGATAAATTGGACCTGGCTAGAGAAACCTGCGTCTGATGGGCAAAGGGGAAACAGGTGCCAGCCTGATTAGCCTGGGGCTTCATAAAAGCCTCAGGGGACGATAAGGGGCGGCAGACACAAGAGGGGAAGCCAGAGACTGGAAGGAGTGTGGCAACTCTTCTGTCCTGCCTGTAGAGGCTGGGAAGTCCTTCAGACTGAAACCCCCATACTGTATATGGTGACACGGTGGTGAGATTGCACCCTGTAAATAAACTGCAGTGGTGGTTGCTGAACTTGAGGGTCTGTGAGTGGTTTTTGGAGAGAGCAGAGCAGGGGCAGGACCCAGGGGAGCCCTGTTATGCTCTGTTACACATGGGGGCCTGTCCGGGATCCTGAGCCAGTGCCAAGTTTGGTGGCCCAGAGTTGAAAGAGATGCTGCAGTGGCTGGTAAGGCAGCAGGAGGACACGCAGAAGGCTATGCAAAGCTTGCAGCAATCCCCCCAGGTGAAGAGGCAGGGTTTGCTTACCTGGCAGGCCGAGCTGCAGAAAAGCCTGCAGGAGCAGGCCAGCGTACAGCAGCTCCTGCAGAGGATGGCGAGTCCCATGGTGGGGGATGGCATCCGGGCACAGGACGATGTGATATGGGCCCGGCAAGTGACCCAGTTGCATTCCTCCCCACTTTCGAGCAGCTAGCCACGGGGACTGGATGGGATAGAGCAATCTGGGCCCTGTGGCTCGCACCCTATCTAGCAGGCAAAGCCCAAGCGGCCTAAATGCTCCTGAGTGAGGAGCAGGCCAGGAGGTACGAGGCAGTAAAGGTGGCTGTCCTCTGAGAAATACTGCCAGAAGTTACGGTCAACAAGGGAGTTGGGGGGGGGGGGGGTTACAGCCCCAGGCGTTTGCCCAAAGCTTGGTGGACTGGGCCACCCACTGGCTGAGACCCAGCACCCAGACAGTGAGGGGATTATGGACACATTGGTCCTAGAACAGCTCCTACAGGACCTCTCCGACAACATATGAGTGTGGGTTAGGCGGCATCAACCGAGTATGGTGGCAGGGGCCGTGAAACTGACCAAGGAGTATGCGGAGGCCAATTTCCCCAGGAAAAAGGGACGACCATACAAAGACTTGGAGTCTGGGAGAAAGCCCAAGAACCCCCACCCAGAAAGGGCCCAGAGAGGAAAAGGGAAGACACCCGGGGAGCTCCACCTGGGGCCCAACTGATCATTCGCTGGCAGTGCGGGCGACCGGGACATAAAAAGGGGGACTGCTCGTACATGGAGTGTGGATTTGCCGAGTTTTGTGGCTGGACTAATGCTGGAGGGAAGGGGCAGAGACTGTCCACCGTTCTGGTGATGGTGGGGAGGAAACCACAGAGGGCCCTAATAGATACAGCCTCAGCCTGGTTTCTTATCCAGAGGTGGCTGGTAAAGCCGCACTGGACGATTCCCGGAGCCAAAATGAACCTCGAATGTGTCCTTGGGGATAAGAGACAGTGGCCTATAGCCCAGGGGCCCCTCAAGGTCCAGGGCAGATTCCAGTGGAAATGGGTTGGGGTAGCAGAGGGTCTGCCTTTTCCGGTGGTGTTGGGCATGGACTGGGACCCCTTCCCAGGAGGGAAAGGAGGCAGTGGGAGGAAGCCACCATGGGGAAAAGGGGAGGCCTCCCAATGACGGAGGTAGAACCACCTAAATCACAAAGCCCCAGTAGAGAGGGAGACCAATCCCCTTAGGAAATTGCAATGAAAAGCCTGTCAGGAAGGAAGATGGGGAGACATCCTGCCCAAGGCCCTGAGCAGAGGAGAAAGGCCCACCGGCGCTCCCTACAAGGGTGACCCCCAGGAAAAGAGGCCCAGGCCCTGCTCGGTGGGTTTGAGAAACCTGAGGCCCTGGGTGTCCAGGGGGAAGTAGGGACCAATCCCGAACTCCTGCCGGAAGGGAATGGGGGAAAAGGACAGGGAACACACCCAGGCGTATATGTTGCAGTGGACCTATGGGGCTATCCACCCCCCACACAGTGTAATTTCTGTGGGTGGGGGGTAAATGAATCCCACAAGGAGGACCTGGGGGTCACCCGAAGGTGGAAGGAGAACTCCCCTGTAGTGCCCAATCCAGTAGAGGGAAGAGAGGACGGGGAAGGATGAATCTGGCGGTTAGGTAACGGGGGGAGGTGTGTGACAGGGTGCTGGGCACGAACTGCTGAGCCAGCCCTCTGTCACTCCAGCTCCCATTAAGGGAGGTAAATTGGAGCTGCCTAGAGTGACCTGTGCCTGATTGGCAAAGGGGAAACAGGTGCCAGCCTGATTAGCCTGGGGCTACATAAAAGCCAGTCCGAAGAGGGGAAGCTGGAGAGTGGGAGCTTCTCTCTCCAGGTGGCAGAGGCTGGGAAGTCCTTCAGCCCGAAACCGCCATGCTGTATATAGTGAGATGGTGGTGGGATTGCACCTTGTAAATAAACTGCACCGGTGATTGCTGAACCTGAAGGTCTGGGAGTGGTTTTGGAGCAGAGGCAGGCCCAAAAAGGGCCCGGTTATGCCCTCTTACAAGAGTTGTCAACATTCAAAACAAATAAAAGTTGGGCAACTGCTTTTCATACTGAAGTGGGTTGAAAATGAAAAACTGTAGCTGACTGTTTCCAAACATAAGGGTTTTTCTGACAGCTTACAAAACCAAAAGCAGCAGAAGACAGTGATCCTTACCCTGATATTTATCCAGAAAATGGCAACATTCATTTCTTGCACCAATTATCCCCCATTCTTTGTAATTTATATTATAAAAATTAATAGATTCCCAGGAAATTTTAAATAAAACAACCCCCCCCACACACACAACAAAGGGCCTTATAACCCAGCCAGCCCCTCTGTACTGTTCCTCTGAGCTAATCCAGAGGCACCCACAATTACAAATGTCACAGTGACCTTGCAGATGCCGCTCACTGCTGATCCCTCCCTGTGATGCAGATGTGCCCCCTACACCTCATGGTGATCCCCACACTGTGCAAGCAGAGAAATCTCACAAAGTAAGCATGGCTGCATCCTCCTGGGAGTTCCCAGGCTCCGTGGCTGAGTGGCAGTGCTGGGACAGGGGCACAGGGGAGGCATGGCTACCATCATGCTCATCACTGTGAGTGACTCACTCTCACCTCCTTTGCTACCTTCTCTCTCCTTCTGCAGCAGTAACTGTGACCTGGACTATGAGCTCTACAGGGACGATTTCCCGTACAGGTGAGCGATGTCTGGTCCCTGGGCACCTGCCAGCTCTTCCCCCTTTGGTGTTTAGAGGAGGAGGACTGAAGAAGCACTGTTCGAATTCCTTTCCCGCCCTGTATCCCAGCTCTGAGTGCCCCAGAACAGAGGGGGCCAAGTTTCATTTACCTAAGGGTATGTCCCCACTGCAGAGGAAGAGCTGGTTGTAGCATGGGCTAGGCATACCCATGCCAGCTTTAAGCTAGCTAGCGTGGATAGTGTAGACATGGCAGCACAGGCTAATAACCTGAGCACAAACCTGCGGGGGAGCCTGGCTGCGCCCTGGGGTTGCTAGCCCACACTGATGCCCAGGCTGCCGCATGGTCACTATTATTGCTACCCCTGCTAGCTAGACCGAACTAGCCTGAGCTTGCCTGTCTGCTGCCATGACACCTTCACTTGTTAGGATAGAGATACCCTAGACACGAACTGTCAGCCAGTGCCTGGGAGCTGCAGGAGGGCCCTGGGGTTCAGCTGTGCAAACGTGGAGTAGAAGATCTGCTACTGGTACCCACTATCCCAGGAGCCTTTGCAGTCAGGCTCTGTTCTGGAACAGCTGGTGTCGGGTGAGGCAGCTCCTTTGAAGTCAATCCGCGCTGTGCTGATTTGCACCGGCTGAGGATCTGGCTCAGATCTCATCATTATGCCTTTATTTAATAGCAGCTGATTAGCAGAGAGAGAGTCCCTGGCAATTAATATCCACGAAACCAGATTGTTTCTTCCGTCAGTATCAAACAGGTTTTGCTGCATCGGCGATGGGGCCCCATCCCTCTGCGCTGACAGTCAGTAGGCAGCGAAGTGCACTGGGGGCTGGGAGGGGATGGTTTGAGGCACCTGTCCGTCTCAGCTGCACGACTCCTGGTAACACTCAAGGAGGTTAAAGAGGAAGCGGTTGCCCGTTCAAAGGAGCTGAAATCCCCTGGTGAGATATGTGGTGCCAGGCGTTTTGGAGACTAGCCTGTGGGCACCACATTTCACCCATCGCAGAGCCACAAGGGCAGCTTGCCAGGACCCCCGTGAGGCAGCAGCACTATCAGTAATAGAGCAGGGCTTCATGTCCCAGCAGGCCGTACGCCGTCTGGAGCCCAGTGGGTGCTGTGCAGGAGGCATGCTGGGGCTGGGGCTGCCCCGTGCATTCGTGCACAGCTCCAGCTCTGCTTCCTTCATTCGGGGCTCAGCATGTTTGGAGCCATGTGCCTCTAGGCCACCCCCTCACTGAACGCCATGGGGAGGGAGGAATTGAGCAGGGTGTCCCAACTGCACCTGAGAGCATGCGCTGCCCTGAGGCTGGAGGGCTTGTGCCAGACCACTGGCCCCTGCTCCCCTCTGTAGCATGCTGCATCCAGTTCTTGGGCATTCAGGCCTTATGATTTCCAGGGATAGCAGCCCCCCCCAGCTCCCTGTCCCCAACTCCTGCTCCCTGCTGGCATGAGTGGGGCTCGGCCCCCCTCTCCATTCTCCCTGCTCATCCTGGAGACCCCTTCTTCCCCCGAGGACAGTGCAGTGCTGGTGACACTTGGCGCAGGGGATCCTGCTAGGGCCCCCGCCCCGCTCCTCACACGGCTCTGTCTCTCCCTTGCAGGGTGTACGAGTACCAGAAGATCCCGCCCCTTATCAATCGCATTCCAGTCAAGACCAGACGAGCCCATGTGGGGGCAGGTGGCAAGAGCAGCCTGATCCCCCACCCGGGGCCAAGAGGCAGCGGCAACGCAGCACTGGGTCGGACTAAGCGTAAGCGTCACAGATCGCGGGGGGGCGGGCGGTGACTGGAGGGGATGCTAGGGGCACTGAGCGGGTCACTGCTCTAGGTCGTGGAGAGTGTCCCGGGGAGGGTGAGGCACAAGGACAGCGTGGCTTGGGCAGAGTGTGGCTCAGGTGGCTACTCAGGACGGGGGCTACTCCGCACTGCTTGCGGGAAGCATGTTCTCCATAGGAAGGAGCCTGCTGCTGAGAGCTCCCAGCCCGAGCAATGAAAGAACTCGGCCTTTAAATAGATTTTACAGGCTGCTGTCTCCAAGGGGACTCCCAAAAACTGCTAACTGGCCTGTGCCCGTGCAGCTGCCTGGCGCGTGCCCCCACGTGTGAGTTTGACAGGCACAGCGTTTTCAAACATAGGTGCCCCTGAAACTGGGACCTTCCAACGTGCCAAGGGATTTAGGGAGCCTTGTGGAGGGGCCCTTAAAGGGGCCTGATGTTCCAAAATCCAGGCCCCTTCCAGGTGCCTCCAGGGGGAAAAGCTTGGCCCAATTGCTGTGCATTTAGAAGAGGAAATACACAGCAGGTGCAAAGGGAGACAGAGACCTGCCCGCAGCTTGGAGGTTCAGACAGCAGCACCCAGCACTTAACCACCAAGAGCCAGAGTGTGCAGAATGGCTCTGAGGTGGGCCGCCCAGCCAGGGCTGCCAACCCCGCCGGGATCACCCTCCCCATTGCTTCCAGGCTAGGTACGTGTCCATGGAGCCTAATGGCCTCTCCTCCTCCCTTGTGCAGTGCGTGCTGAAGAGCTGCATTCCATCAAGGGAGAGCTGAGCCAGATCAAAGCCCAGGTGGACAGTTTGCTGGAGAGTCTGGATCGGATGGACCAGCGGCGGGAGCGGCTGCCTGGGGAGAGAGGTAAGAGGAGGAGGGATGGGTGGGGGAGGCTGTTACCCACACACACACCACACAGATGTGAGGGCCCAGCAGCTGGGCAGGAACACCCCCCCGCCCATGAGACTGTCGGCAGGGCTGCCCTGAACTGGTTCTCCAGAGCTGGTCGGGGGGCTGCAGTGTGGCACAAGGTGCACTGTGCAGAGAGGATAGGTGCCATGCTCCCCCGGCTAAGCTGGCTGGTCTGTTGCCTCCTAGGAACCTCCCCCGCTGTGCTCGCTAGCAGGACACTGCAGCCTGCTTCGTGGAAGGATTAGGGGGTGACTATCGGGCTCCTGGCTGGCTGCCGCATGGTCCTGGTTTGGCCGTCACAGACTAACAGTCCTTTGGGCTGGGGCATTTCCCTAGTGACTTGTGAGCACATCCCTCCCAGGCAGAGCAGAGAGCAGCCAGAGTCCTGGAGCTGCCGAAGGCCTCTGCTGTCTAGGGGCTGCTCTGATCTTGCAGGCTCCAAGGAGGGTGAGAAGAAGAAGAAGGCTCAAGCGAGCGAAGAGCCCTCGTACCCAGTGGGGGACTCACTGCGGGAGCCACAAGGGAAGGAGACCCCAGCTGCTGACGCGCAGAGCGACCTGAGGGACATCGACAGTGAGGAGGAGAGCACAGACACCGAGGAGACGGTAGGTCCCAGCAGAGCGGCTCTGTCGAGGGTAGGATTGCCAACTGTCTAATCACACAAACACAAATCCCGCCCCTTTGCTGAGGCCCCACCCTGCTCACCCCATCCGCCCCTCTCCGTCGCTGGCTCTCCCCCTCCCTCCCTCACTTTCACTAGGCTGGGGCAGCAGGTTGGGGTTCGGGAGGAGTGTGGGGTGCAAGCTCTGGGAGGGAGTTTGGGGGCTGGAGGGGGCTGGGGGAAAGGGATGTGGGCTCTGGGAGGGAGTTCGGGTGCAGGAGGAGGCTTAGGGCTGGGGAAGGGGTTGGGGTGTAGGAGGGGGTGAGGGTTGTGGGCTCCGGCCGGGCAGCGCTCACCTCAGGCGGCTCCCGGGCGGCGGTGCAGTGGGGCTAAGGCAGGCCCTGGCCCCGCACCACTCCCAGAAGCGGCGGGCACGTCCCTGCATCTCCTCGGGGGGGAAGGGTCTCGGCATGCTCCCATTGCCCGGAAACTGCTGCCAATCGGAGTTACGGGGGCAGAGCCAGCCTTAGCACCGCTGCACAGCTCACCGGGAGCCGCCCAAAGTGAGGGCGCCAGGGGGCTCCACGCACCACCCCCTCTGCGCACCATTCTTAGCCATGGCCGGCACATCCCTGCGGCCCCAGGGGGGCACAGGGGGCCTGCCTTAGGTAGGCAGGGAGCCTGCCTTAGCCCTGCTGTGCTGCCGGACTTTTAGTGCCTAAAATCTCCCAGTTTGGCTTCAGTAGCTTCTGGCAGATAGCGCCCATTCCGGGAGATTCCTGGCGAAACTGGGAGGGTTGGCAACCCTAGTTGTGGGCCCTGCATGGTGGAGGGCGGAGCCCAGCGCCTAGGCAGGGGAGAGAGCTTTGGCTGCTAGCTTTCTCTGGGCTTTAGCCAAATGGTCCTCACTTGCCTGCGTGGGGAAATGTACTGGGTGTTCCCATGAGCCACAGGAATGCTCATCTGCCAGCCCATGTGACTCGGCCTGCGTCCCCCCACTACCCAGTCATCACGCCAGGCTCCCCTGCACGCATCCAGCTGCCGTTTGCGGGAGCTGCACTATGGGAGGGGGAGGGCTGCTGAGTGCATGTAGCCATTGGAGTGGAATGCTGCTGGTGTGGGCGTCCGGAGAGACGGGCACCGAGGCCGGGGGCATGGGATTGTGTGTGTTTAGTGCCATGAATTAGTCGCTGGTTTGTGAGCTGGGGGCCACCTGAGCTGAGTGCTGCTAGAATGGAGTTTTGTGAGAGGCTTGGGCTCCTTGCAGGACAGGAGTGCCCCTGGGCTGTATCCCTAGCCAGCCAGTCCCCCTTCAGGCCAGAAATGGCATGCCCAGGACACCGACACTGTAAACACTCCTGGAGCGAGGAGATGCCCAGGGAGCAGGCACTGCCTGATGCACACAACCCTGCCAAGGTGCCTCACCCGGCTGCATCATAGCTGGGTGTGTTGGTAGCCTCTCCAGTGATGCAGGTGAGCCAGTCAAAGTGGCAGCCCCCGCAGGACACTCATGGCATGACTAAGCAATTCAAGGGAACAGCACAGGGGCTGTTAAACAGTTTTCTGATAAGCAGGCTTGTAACAGAGCATCATGATATTGAAACAACTCCGTCTCATTTACTACTTTAATTCATAAGACAAATTACTACTAACTTAATGAATCAGGGCAACTTTGTCAGCGATTGATACTGGGTACGCTTTGACTAACATTGTCCCATACAGGTGGAGCAGGGCAACGTCAGAGCCCTGCCATCTCCCTGCCTTCACTGACCCACAGGTAGCCTTGTGCACACATGAGCAGGGGCTGTGCACAGGGACCCACAGGTAGCCATGGGCACACACGAGCGGGGCCACGTGTTTTGGTACATGTGGCTGATGCTGGCTGTTCTGGATGCATCCGATGAAGTGAGCTGTAGCTCACGAAAGCTCATGCTCAAATAAATTGGTTAGTCTCTAAGGTGCCACACGTCCTCCTGTTCTGGAAATGTGGCCCACAAGGATGAGTAATGTAATGTAGTAATGAAATCTCTTTGCAGATGAAAAACCACACGTCAGACCCGGAGGGCAGCCAGTAAACGGACTGGGACACCACAGCCTTCCCCAGGTTGGCTAGCATTTCCTTTCCTGTGTTTGTATTTCTTTCAAGGCCGCCAGCTGGTGCCACCCATGACATGAGTGTACCTGGTCTCAGCGCTAGTGCAACAAAGCCGTGTCCCACGCCACCTGAACTAGCGCCTCATCATTTCCACCAGCACGAGACCCCCACCTTGCTGAGGGAAATCTCTGTGTTACGATTGTTCCTTTTAGCAGTGGAGGAAAAAAATGTAGGGGAAGGGCAGGTAGAAAGCCCCTGAGGAGCTAGACTGTCTGGACCCTGGTGGTGTATTTAAGAACCATGTAGAAATCCCGGCAGCCCTCGCTTTGTCCGCAAACTGCACTGTTGGAACAAGAGGGTTTGTTGTTCTGTTGGCTCCCAGGCCATGCCATTGCTGTACGCAGCCATGGACCACGCAAAGGACTGCTGTCTCCCACTGCAAGGCTTCCCGCTCCCAGACCCACGGTACCCCTCTCCTACTGAGAGGACTTGCTGTCTAGCTAAGGCCATGTGCAGCATGGGTGCAGGACGGAGCTCCTGTCATCCGTTTTTCCTGTGTGCCTCATTGTGGATTCTTGCCCCGCTTCTGGGCCTTGATTGGTTGAGAGACGCATGGCGCGACAGGAAAAACACCACAGTTTTGGCCACTCTGCTTGAATGCTGGCTTCATCCGGCACCGAACAGGGACCTCCTGGGGACCCTTCCCATCGCCTCTCTGCATGCCCCACGTCCCTGAGCCCTCAGTGAACCTTGCAATGAAGCATGCCTAGAAAGAGCCAAAAATGCCATCCGCTAACGGGCACAGCAGGCCCAAGTCAACATTTAAGGCCCCATGTTCTCTGCACCATGTCGTTCAGAGCAGGATTTCCATGCCTTGAGCGGGATGGTCAGTTTCTGGCAGTACTGAAGAGCAAGCAGGGAAGCAGCAGGCATTTATTCCTGCCTCAGTCAGTGCCTAGCACAGGCTGCAGGGTGCTGACCTGCAGAGGAGCTTTTCAGACAAAACGCTCCAGGACTAGACTTGCTGCGACCTTGTGGTGCTCATGGAAATCTCACAGATGCAGAGCTCTGATGGGACAGAATTAGATGGTCAGCTACAGCTCATACCCTGGGGTCCATCCACATCCCCAGCGTTCAGCCCCCCAGCCAAGGCTGCAGCATCTGTCAGAATTGCTGCTCACTCTGCAGAAGCATAGCTGTTAACCAAGGGGGATCCCTTCCCAGCAGGGCTGCTAGAGTAACAGACGTTCCCCCTTCTGTGGAGTCACTAGGAAGCCACAGAGAGAGAAATATCATTTCTATGTGCCGGCCTTTTAGAGGCAGGCAGAGACAGACTCTCTGGCCTGGAGATTTTACATCTAAACCTCAAGGTTAGAGGACAGCACTGGGAGGCAGGTTTGAGCTCTACTCCCAGCTCTGACACTGGCCTGCTAGATAACCTTGGCCAAGTCACTTCCGCCTCAGTTTCCCCATCTGCGAAAGAGGGACAATATACAAACCACTGCACAGGTTCATTGGGAGACTTCATCTGTTGACCTGTACATGAAATATTTGGACCTGGCCTTCAGCAGGAGAAAGGTGTATTAACCTACGTAACAATCCTAATGTAAACACGGCAGTTGTTTTTAACCTGTCTTATTAGGAGGGGTATTTGTTTTATAAGAGCAGCCAGGTGCTCTAGCTCCAGGACACCAATGTGCGAAGTGCTGTACAAACATAGAACATAAAGATGACCCGTGCCCCACAGAGCTCACCAGCCACGAGCTGGAGCCAGGCAAACGGGGGGCACATGGAACCCATGAGACCACACTGGTCAGCAGGACAGGCAGAGGGCTCAGCACTCCAGCAGCCTCATTGATTTTTGTCGGCATTGCAGTAAAGGAAAGTTTTAAGGAAGGTTTGGAAGGTGGATAAGGAGGCAGCTCCAGGGATGCTTACGGGGCACACCTACCAAGTGGGAGAGGCAGCCTGGGGAAGCACAAAGGGGCTTGTTTGAAGATGTAACAAGTGGGTGATGGAGAGTAGCCTCATGGTCTAGTCAGAGGCAGGAGCCAGCATCTCAATAGTGAACAAGAGATGGTAGATTGGGTGGGGACAGGATGTGAAGAGCCCCACAAGTTAACACAAAGACTTCCATTTGATGCGATAGAAAGGGAGGCTGGCCATAGCAAACATGAGGGGGAAGCCAGCAGTTCACATTGGCCCGCTACAACTTGCCTTGTCTACACTCGGATTTTAACACAGGTTAAAAATACAGCTTGATTCCTCGTGAAGCCACAGCCTTTGAGACCCACAAATGGAAAGGGCTTCAAGCACTAGGTACAGCTTTACCACGTGGATGCTGGTAACAGCCCAGGTCCTGCTTGCCCAGGCAGTGTGGCTGAGAAACCGCCATCAAGCCAGTGCTCCTCTGTGGCTGTACAGAGCACCCCTAAAAAGCTGTAGCTGTTTGCAAACTGGATAGCTGTGATTTTCCGCTGGCTCAGAAAAGGTTTTTCCTTTAGTCTCACATGGCTTCTATATACCATGCTATGTGATATGGTTCATAGTCACTTACCAGGAATTCCATGAGCAGCTTTACCAGAAATAAAAAAGGAGTGTGATTATTTTCCCAGCAGGCTAATTCCTGCTATGTGAACAATGATATGCCCGTGCTTTGGGTTGTTTCACCTTCATCCAAAGAACCTGCATTCTTCCTCTGTCCTCATACTACTGTGTTTTGGAACAATTGTAGCTCATTTCCATGTCCCTCATTTCTAGGTAGTCTCTCTCACGCTGGTAGGAAATTGTGTCTGTATTTCTAATTTGCTCTGGAAAAAGAGTGTATTTGTGTTGGAAGGAAAAATAATAAATTTGTATTTCTTTTCTCCGGTTATTCGGGAGTCTGATGATTTGATTTTCACATCGGAGAGAGAACAGCCTTTGTCAAACTGCAGCGAGACAATGTCCTGGTTCTGGTCTGCAGGGAGATGCTAGATGTGGTTTCTATAGCATCCAGCTAGCCAAGTGTTCTAGATGCCTAACAATGCGAGTAATGACTAATGCCAGCTGCAATTAAAATCCACATGCCCCACGCCACAGACCTCTGGGAATAAACTTGCTGTAAAAAGGGGACCATGGAACTAGCTGCCTCTTACAGGGAGGAAATTTTGTGGCCACAAAGCTCCAGTCTTCTATGGCTGCATCCCCTAAGGCCTCAGGAAGGCAGGATTGTTTGGCTAGAGAGAGAAAGGTAACTTGGACACAGCCGATTTCAGATGTTTGATTAAAACTAAAATCTTAATCTTTGCCTCCCAGAGGCAGCCAGTGGGAATAAAATGAATGCACTAGTAGACAGGCAGAATCACACCAACTAAGAGATTGAAAAGACTTATTAGGCTAGGTCATTTAGACCAACCTCCTGCTAACATAGGATTGTCCCTGTGCTATAGTATTTTGTGCATTTTGCAGTTTCATTTTAAATGGCTGACTGATGGGATGCTGGGAAGGTCATTACACGGTGCGTGGACTGCTCCTTTCTGCACTAGAAGCAGATCATGGCTGTCTTATGGGTTTGTATAGGGCCTAGTACAAGGGAGACCTGATCTCAATGAATGGAGCTGTTTGGGAGCAGGGGTGTAAATTGGGAGTGGGAATCTACCTCCACCTGGAAGCTGGCCTCAGGATTTTAAAAATTCCTCTTGGCAGCAGTCATGGAAGGAAGGACACCACTTGGACACTGCCCCTCCTCCACCCAGACCTTCTGCAGGGGCAGCAGCACTCCCTGGGCAGTTTACCTCTGGCTTCTGGGGGGCCAAAGGGGAATACTGGTATTGATGAGGACTGAATCAGTTTCAGTACTGCTGCTCCAGTGACATAAGCAGAAGGAAGGGGTGAAAGGGTAGAAGACTTGGAACAGGGAAAGGTGGGGCGGAGGAGTGGAGGGCATAGAAGCCACGTCACCAAAAGGCTAGCATACAGCAGATGGAAATAAATCCAGGAGGAGCCCGAAACAGATCTCGAAGGGGGAGAATAAAATTGCAGAATTGCTTCATTTTAGGTTAGAGAGTGTATCTGAGTTTCTTTCAATTACCAGCCTAGTTAATTGTGGTAGTGAATTGGACTGGGAGGTGAAAAATAAATAAGACATCTCTGCCTACAATGTCTGAAACCCATCTGAAAGGGGTGTGTGCAAATTCCCCTACAGACAAACATGACATCAAACAACTGCAGAGCTCACTGCAGGAGTCTATCAACAGATTCCTCAATAGCTGATAAACTACTATTCTACCTTCAAGGAGAAATCTTGACCCCATGGATATCAATGCTAAAAAAACCCCCAAAAGTTACCTACCTTCTCATAACTGTTGTTCTTTGAGATGTGTTGTTCATGTCTATTCCAATTAGGTGGGCACACACCGTGTGCTGCTGGAAAGTTTTTCCCTTAGCAGTATCCTTCGGGTCGGCTCAGGCGCCCCCTGGGGTTGTGCCTTTATGGATATAGGGCCCTGCCGTCCCCCCAGTTCCTTCTTGCCGGCTGCTGCGCCAGAGAAGTGGGAGGGTAGGTATTAGAAGGAACATGAACAACACATCTCAAAGAACAACATTTATGAGAAGGTAGGTGACTGTTTTTTTCTTCGAGGGCTTGTTCATGTCAGTTCCAGTTAGGTGATCACCAAGCCCAAGTTTTGGAGGTGGGCTTGGAGCTCAAAGGTTCGCTGACAGTAGCACCGCACTACCAAAGGCTGCATCGTCTCTGGCCTGCTGGGTAATAGCATAATGTGAGGTAAAGGTATGTATTGATGACCATGGTGCAGCTCTGCAGATCTCCTGCATTGGAACATGGGCCAGGAATACTGCTGAAGATGCCTGCTCCCTCGTGGCGTGTGCTGTAAGCGGGAACGGGCAGGTACATTCACCTGGTCGTAGCATGGCCGGATGCAGGATGTGATCCAAGACGAGATCCTTTGGGAGGAGACTGGAAAACCCTTCATTCTGTCTGCTACTGCGACAAATAGCTGAATAGATATCCGGAATGGTTTTGTTCGCTCAATGTAAAAGGTTAACGCCTGGCGAACATCCAACAAGTGAAATTTTTGTTCTCTGCTGCTTGAGTGAAGCTTAAGATAGAAAACTGGGAGAAAGATGTCTTGGTTAATATGGAACTGGGAGACAACCTTAGGGAGGAATGCAGGATGAAGTCTGAGCTGAACCATGTCCTTATAGAACACGGTGTATGGAGGCTCATAACTTAATGCCTTGAGCTCTGACACACTCTTGGCTGATGTTATTGCTACCAGCAATGCCATCTTGTATGAGAGCTACAGCAAGGAACATGTCACCAGCGGTTCAAAGGGCGGCCTCATCAATCTGGACAGGACTAGGTTAAGGTTCCAGGCCGGGACCAGCTGTTACACATGAGGGTAAAGTCTGTCAAGTCCCTTTAGGCTCACCAGCTGGTCTTCACCAACCTTGCATGTCTGGATGGAAGGCCAAAATAGCAGCCAGGTGGACCTTTATAGAAGACGGGGTAAGCCCTTGCTGTTTGAGGTGGATAAGGTAGTCCAAAATAATAGGTATGGATTGGAGATCCATAAAGTTGGAGACGAAAGCTGTTGTGAAGACCAAACTGAGAATCTCTTCCATTTGGCCAGGTAGCGGGCTAATGGAAGGTTTTCTATTACGGAGAAGGACTTGTCTGACTGGGTCCGAACAGGCGAGCTCATCGGATTCAACCATGGAGTGTTCACGTGAGATGCAGTGATTTGAGCTTCGGGTGCTTAAGATGGCCGTGATTTTGAGTTATCAAGTCCAGGAAGAGTGGTAAGGTGATTGGGGTGCCATGGACATTTCCAGAAGGTATGCCCTGGCCTGTGTAGAGTCCTATAAACCTATAAACTCTATCTGCTGCACGGGGAATAGGATGGACTTTTGTACATTCAGAAGGCAGCCCAGATCATCAGAAGTAGCCCTTATGAAGCTGACGTGTGCCTCCACATACACCCTGGAGCGGCCCTTGTTTAGCCAGTTGTCAAGTTATGGAAACAACTGCACCTATTGCTTGAGCAGGAACGCAGCCATGACTGACATACACTTGGTAAACACTCGAGGAGGCCGAACGGGAGGACTAAGAATTGATAATGAATGTGGTTCACCACAAATGTGAGATAACCTCTGTGGGAGGCGTGATTGAAATATGAAAGTAACGTCCTTCAAGTCGAGGTTGGCATACGAGTCCCCCGGATCCAAGGAAGGGATAATGAAGGCCAAGGAGACCATGCGGAACTTCAGTTTCTTCATGAACCTGTTGAGATGTTGCAAGTCTAAGACGGGCCTGAGGCTTCCTTTGGCTTTTGGTATTAGGAAATACTGGGAATAGAAGCCTTTTCCCCTCAGCTCCTGAGGAACCTCTTCCACTGCCTTCAGCATTAGGAGCGAGTGTACCTCCTGCGTGAGGAGTTGCTCATGAAAAAGGGTCCCTGAAGAGGGATGGGGAAGAGGATGGAGGGCAGGATTAATCTGGTCTCTGGACTGGTGTGTCGTCCGAGGTGCATCTTCAAAAGTTTTGTTTCTGGCCAGAGGACTGCTTTGTCTGACCAGAGCCCTGGTCTGACAAAGGGTGAGGCCTCTTCCTATTGTTTCTATTCTGCCTGTGAAAGAAGTATTGCCTATTTTGAGGCTGGTAACAACGAGGTGGAGGCTGCAGCTTAAAGTGTTTCCTTTAAATTAGCCGGAGTATGGAAGCCAAGGTACATGAGGGTGGCCCTTGAGTCCTTCAGGCTGTGGAGCCGGGAATCTGTTTTCTCAGAAAACAGGGCCAAACCCTCAAAGGGGAGTTTTGTAGTGTCTGCTGGACCTTGTAAGGGAGCCCAGAGACCTGCAGCCAGGAGCTCCTTCTCATGACTATCCCCAAGGCCATATTGTGGGACACCGAGTCAGCCACATTTAGGGCTGCCTGAAGTGAAGCACAGGCAACCAGTTTCCCTTCCTCCATGAGGGAGAAAAACTCCACCCTGGAGTTCTCTGTTAACAGCTTCGTAAACTTGGCCATCGCTCTGCAGGTGTTGTAGTTATACCTGCTGAGATCCAATTTTTCACTTCCCGATTTTTGGGGACAGTTCCTGGAAGCCTTGACACTTCCTCTCATTTGCCACAGCCACCACTAGGGAGTCCGGCAGGGGGTGGGTATAGAGGTGCTCGTAGCCTCTAGAGGGAACAAAGTACTTCCTCTCATTTCTCTTTGCTGTGGGCGGCTAAGAGGCAGGGGTCTGCCAGAGAGTTTTAGTGGTGTCACTAATTTTTGTTAGGAAGTTGCAGAGCAACACGGGAGGGGCCCGAAGTGGTGAGGAGGTCAACTATAGGGTCTGATGCCTCCACCCCCTCCTCAGCCTGGATTGCCAGGTTCTGTGCCACCCTCCTAAGAAGTTGTTGGAGCACTCTGCTGTCCTCCAGGGCAGAGGCTGTCGACATTCCCGCCACTGCCTCATCAGACGAAGACAAGGACAAGACCCTAGCTACCAGCGGGTCCTGTTCCCTGCTCTTGGTGCCGAGGGGATCTCATGGTGCTCGTTGTTCCGCCATGGCCCTTGATGCCGGAGTGATCAATGTGGATGCTGGTGTCAGCGTCATTTCGGCGGTGCTGAGTGCGTCGATGCCGGTTCCAGTTGGGTCAGTGCGATCAGACCGTGGTCACACTGGGATGGCGAAGGAGCAAAGGTAGTTGACCCTGAGTAAGACCACTGGCTCTGTTGGAAAACCCAGGGGGTCCAAAAAGGCCACTGAGCAGGGGGCTGCCACTGTCTCGGCCACGGTGCCAACTGAAGGTGGTCTCTGCCTGTCCGATCTGGAGAGGAAGGACTCCGTGTAGGAGGACCAGGGAGAAGCAGTGCCACTTGG